TTTTAAATCTTGCTTTGTGTGGTTTTGCCACTTTTGAAGATTACAGGTCTAGTATTTTGCCTTGTGTCACTCAATATGGATATGTTTCATAATTTGACAAATAGAGTTTGTGGGAAGAGTACCCCAGACACTTGCACTTGTTTCTGTATTGTATCTGGGGGCACATAATAACCCACATCAATATGTTAACATTAATAGCATAGTTTAGATAGTAACTTTCAGGCTTCTCCATTGAAATAATTATTTTTAAATTTTGTAGTCGGTTAGAAGAAAGTTTACTTTCAAAGGAGACAGTGAAAAGTATCAAGTAACTTGTGGATACATGTGAAAACTACCACACTAATAAATATTCTGAGGGAGATATTTTGAGATCGTACAAATATATTTCTCATTAAAGTTTTGCCCACTGATTTTAGCATGCAGCCCATCTTACCTACAGAAATTATTATATTTTAATAGCTATTTTTCATTTCCTTCTCTTACTGCATTTTGCCATAATTGTCAAAAATTTTATGGAAAGAAAAGCTTGCAAAAATACGTAATGTGACCATTTGTGAAGCTTTAAAAAAAATTTTGCTGGTACTACTTCAGAGTGCAATGTCTATAATGGTAATGATTATGCGGTGATATACAATAATTAAATTTTGATTGTGGAGCTAGACCACCTGGGTTAAAATTCCTAACTGCCCCCCTCTTTGCCATGTAGTGTAATATTGGCCAATTATGGAATTCTCTATATTGACGTTTTTTCATCTATAAAATATAGATAACAAGGGTCTACCATAGAAAGTTGTTCAGAGGATAAAATGAGGTAAGACTAAGAAAGAGATGAAAGTTGTCTTTAACCTTTGGAAGTACTGGTATTTTTTTCTAAATCTGAATTATCCTAATTCAAATTTGTTTGATAATTTTATAAATTAATGATTAAATAATATCTTATTTTGAGGTAAGCATTATATATGTATATGACCTGGATTTCCCTTACTGTTCAATTATTTTTGTGTGTGTACTATTCATGTATTGTTCAGTTGCTATTCACAGTGAAGGACATAATAAATGATAGATTCCTAAACAAAACAAAACAAAAAATATTACACAAGAGCTTAGCAGCTGAGGTGGCAACATTCCCAACTTTCTAGGGCGATTTATATCTGAGGCTTTGACAGAGATAGAGCTAGAGGTAGCTCTTGCAAATGAATCTTTTTAAATATTGAGTTAAGTAAATTCAGAACTTGCCGTATACTGTGATGAAATGGCCTCTCAGCAGAGCAAAAACATGTTTTCAGCTTCTCTATATTTTTCACCTTCAACATTGTATTGTAGAGATTTTATCATTTGGCATGTTTTTAAATGATCCCATACCAACAGTTAAACACTTTCCATTTTTCATGTGCCAAGCTCAGGTACTATTTTGTTTTGCTGATTGGGGATGATACTTTGCTCTTTAGAGACTCTGTATTATTCCCCATGTTGAAGGCAAGAGTATTTGAGTCATTCCCAGAAACAGAGTGTCTATATATTTGTTTCAGTTGATAAAATGGAACTCTGTTAACCTTTTTTTTAAAAAAAAAAAAAAAAAAAACCTCCTCCAAGCACCCATAGCAATCAATGCCATATCTCCCTGTACTGAGAGATCTCATGTAGTCAGTTTCCTGAAAATAATTCTTAAGTGACACCCGGACTTGAGAAAAGAGGGTTTTCCTGGCATTGGTTTTTTTTCTCTGTCTTGTCTTTAGTGTTACTGCTCAGAATTACCCCAATTGTAAAAATGGTCTTAACTATTCATCAGAACATGAAGTCTGTGCTTTTTCTGAGGATTGTTTTTATTCATGCCATTTCCTCTACCCTAAGTGGATTAAAATTTTTTTCAGATCCTGTCCAGAGGTTTCTCACTCCACAATTCTGCTAGCTAGCTAGAAACCCTATAATTTGTAATCTATATAGCTCTTGTTAAATTTGTACCTTTCATCACCAATCTTTATATCTATCACTTCTAGTTGGTCAGGTTCTTAGAGATAGGGTTCCAGTACCTACCCTGATACTTTGCATACAAAGAGCTTTTGCTAAATAACTACTATGCTTAAGTATCTACTATAATTGTGCTACAGTTTTGCAAAGTAAAAATTATTGTCTCTGTTTTTTTTTAAATTGTGAAGAAACTCAGTATCAAAGAGATTAAGAAACTTGCCCAACACCATATAGTTAGTAAGTGGCAAAACTGGTTTGTCTCAAGCAAAAGCTCTTGCTATTCTACTCCATATTGCCTTGGTGCTAAAAATAAATAGCCAAGTACAATTATTAAACTGTATTCATAGTAAAATGTGCTGAAATGGCTTCACTTTCATTGCCTTGTGTTACTTGGAGTATTAACTTCTGTGACCAGAGTACTCACCATGGACATTAGTCCATGACATGCTCTTATGTTATTTGGATTTTCCTTTCAAATTTTCATTGATACTAATCTATATTGTTTAAATAGTCTGAATTTGACTTACTTAAATGTCAAATAAAATCTTCACTTACTTGAATGTCAAATAAAATCTTCACCACTATTTTTTTTGGTGACCCCCGAATGGCAGGACAGATCCCCAAATGGCACGGAGACTGGCGAAGTATAGAGGGATTGAATGACTCCCCAGCGAGTACAGGTTCTAGCAAGGCAAATTCCATTTGATTTTTAGCCCTGAGACGAATGCTCTTGAATTTATTACTGCCTTCTGGCCTCACTACTCGAGGCAGTGCCCAAAGCACCAGATCTTTTTGGCAGCCTTGCTCCTGAGAGCACTGGGCATAGACAAGGCTGGCCCACTGGAACTAAGGACCGCAACCTTTAAAATTAAGTCAAAACAAGCCTGTAGTGGAAATGGAATGACTTTTGGGCCCATTCTTTGTTTCTTTTGAGAAGTACTGCACGCTTATAGTCAAATCACGCAGAGAATCTCAGTAATCCTAAAGCCTTCCTTTATTTCATTCCATCTGTGCTCACTTGGGTCCCAACTGGCAGAGTCTCAGCTGGTGTCATCTCTATTCCTGACTTCTGCTGACTTGGTTTATTTTAAACTCCAAGGGTAATCTTTTTTTTTTATGGAGTAGTTGTCCAGCCACACCCTGGGTATTCTTTCCAGGACATGCTTTCTCAGTTTTTGCAGCATAGGCTGAGACTTTTTCTAAATCTTAAGCTCTCATTCCTTTTGCTTAATGACCTTTAAGTATATCTTTCACCTTCTTAGTTTTACTATACACAGAAAGGAGAAGCCAGATCCCACCTTCAACACTTTGATTAGCAGTCAGTTCGGCTAAATATCCAATTTTATCACTTGCAGGTTTTATAGAACCTGCCACCAAACACTAGACCACCATTGAGCCCTTTGCCATTTTATCACAAGCATCAACTTTGCACAATTTTCAATAACATGTTCTTCATTTACGCCTGACTCCTTGCCAACATCATCTTTAGCATTTTTACCAGCCATTCAAGGAAATCTAAGCTTTTCGCTGACATAACTATCAGAACTCCACCTATAGTGAGTTACATTTCCACCTCAAAAAAATTTAGGTATCTGTTGTAGTCTAACTTCCACTGCTTGATACCTAATTTGTTTTAGTTGGTTCAAGCTACCCTAACAGAATACTACAAATTGCCTGGATTCACAGCAGAAACTTATCCAAGATAGAGGTACTAGAAAATTCAGTTTCAGATGAAGTTTCTCTTCTCAATTTGCCTGTGACTGTTTTCTTTCCAGTCCCCACATTGTTCTTCTGCTACCCTGTGCAAGGGTAGCAGAAAGGGTCTCTGTGTCTCTTCATTGTTTTATGAGGACACCAGCCATTTGGAGATCTGTCCTGCCATTTGGGGGTTACCTAACTTGTTCACTCTTCCCAAATTCTCAACTCTTGAAAGGAAGTATGTTTAAAGATGAATTGTGCTTCGAAATCTCTCATGAAAGATATTGTTGGGAGAAAATTTTTTTAAAGGTCCTGGTTCTGTCTTCTTTTTTTTCCCCCCCAAAGGTCTGGCTCTTCCCTCTGGAGGTTCTTTCTTTGTGACTTCCTTAGCACTATATGAAGGTGAAGAGTAGAGATTTCGCTCTTTCCTGACAACTGAGCACCTTTTTGTAGCTGCTTCTTTCATATACAAGTTAGGGACTACAGGGTCCTTTTAAGAATTTGACTGGCTGATTCTTTTTAACAGTCTCCAGAGCCTCGCAAGTGTCTTAATCTGTTGCTGGTACCAGATTAATGTCTATTCTCTTGTTTTATTATCACTGCCTACATGGCAATCAAGACCAAGTGTTCCAGAAAGTACACAGCTACAAGGGTGTATAGCCACAGAGGCTGCTTTGGGGCAGCCCTGGACTCTTGCTTATCTCCAAGTGAAAGTGTAACTATTATGTACTGATTTTTTTTAAATGAGGATAATGACATTGGTTTAAAAAGGTCCTTTGATAGAATAGAAGATAAGAGCCAAGATATAAGTCAGAAAGCAAATACTAGAAATAACTCCCCTTCATTCCCCCCCACTCACCCCTCCACCAGAAGCTAGTCTGGAAATAAAGTGGGAGGAGGGTGATTTGTGGTGAATGAAGCTTTTTTATTTTCATAAATTTTATTGGGAAATACCATAACATGTTTGTACACTGAGGAGCAGAATCCGTAATAAAATGATACTGAGAGAAAATTTTATATAGAGATTTGTGTTGATCTTGATTAGAGAAAGAGACGGTTTAACTTTGAAAAGATGACTCTTTACCTCAGCCTTGGATAATTCTGTTATTTGCATGCATTCATTGATACTTAGCTGAAGCCCCCAAGGTGCTGTATTTATATATGTACTGTGCAGTATTATTTCATAGAACCCTCAGGTTGGAAGAAACTGAGTAAAGATATTCAAGATTTCTTTTTAAACCCCATGTGAATCTGCAATTATCTCAAAATCACAACTGAAAAAATATATGTGAGGCCATTATAAAAATCTTGATAATTTTTGTTTTTGTTTTTAGATCCTTGCTACCTGATTGACAGAATTGTCCTCCCTGACTTTTGTAAGTTGATATTTTAATTATTTTATTCTCCATTCTCCATAAATGGTCTTTTCTATTTATATTAAAACATCTTCCTCGAAAATCTAAAACAAAACTTTGAGCAGAACCTTTAATTACTTGATACTCTCGTGGTCTTCTTCTCTTTTTATGCATGTCTTTAAGTGATAAAACATTTTGAATTCATTTGGGAGGGGTTGGTGCCATACCTTGGCAGTGATCAAGGACTATTCCTGTCTTGGTGTTTATGAGTGAGCCCTGGCAGTGCTTGGGTGACCATATATGGTGTTGGGGACTTAAATTGGGGTTGGACAAATGTAAGGCAATGCCTTACCTCCTGAACTATCTCTCCAGACATATTTTGATTACATTTTAATTGCACTTGTTGGGGTAGGTGCACCTGTTTCTTTGGTACAAGGATTATGTTTAGCAGAAACAGAGTACCACCCATGGAGCCAAGATTTTGGGTACTTGAATTTTTTATGCACTACACTGGGCCAAGTCTTTAATTCTTTCTTTTTTCTTTCTTACTTTTTTCTCTCTTCCTTCCTTTCCTCCTTCCTTCATTTTTCTTCCTTCTTTCCTTTCTTTCTTTCTTCATGAAATTGTCTTCGAACTGTTCTACCTGCCCCTATATTTCCTGCTTGATGTGCCATTCTCCCAATAGTCACATAAATTAAAAATCTAATTCTTGATCAAGGGAACTTTTTTTTTCCTAATAATTCAACCACCTCTCTTTACAGAGATTTTAACAGCTCTGTCATATGGGTCTCCTTAATTCTCATGCTTTATCTACCCTGACCCACTCTCCACACAAATATTTATTTATTTCTAAATAAAGAGGATGGAATGATAGAAGTGCTTAACGGGAAAATTTCCAATACCATGTTCCTCTAAAAACACTATTTTTTGCTGTACTGATATTCTTGTGTTCATGTTCTTAATTGGGGTTTTGCTGTTTTCATGAATATCCTTGTGACACATTGCTTCGTTACCGCCTTCAAATATTTACTAAATTGGCATATGCTCACCCATGTCTTTCTAACCAGCCTATTTCAGATGGCTACTGTTGCTCCCACATTAACTTTCCAGCTCTTCTGCTCTGTTTTGTTATATTAATGAACACCTGATAAATGTTCCCTCCATTCAGATAAACTGCACAAAGGTAGGAATTGTGTGTTTTATTCACCAAGATGAGAAGCAGAATGCAGAACTGCTAGAAGTTACTGCCTTTGCATAATCTACATCCTTTCTACTCTGATTTAAGAGACAGGTAAGTGGCTTAAACTGAGACCAGTCTTTGCATCCTGTGTCTCATTGGGGCATGTGTGATCTAAGCCAAACCAACTGAACTTTTTTCCTGGATTTTTATTGTTTTGATCTGTGGATGGAAATAAAGATATAATTTATGTCTTGTCACAGATCCTCTTATCTATTAGATGTTAACTAGCCAAAAGACCAATATATCTGTATACTATAATGACACAAGGAAAGACTGGCATACACTATGTTATATAGAATAAGACTATCAGTATTCAAATTCCAATCTCAAAATAGAGAATACACTAAATTATTGGTCCCTTTAGACTACTTACAAAAGTTGCTGTATGCTAAAATTTAAAATTTTTAATGAATATTACATAGAAAAAACTTTTAACTCAATAACCTGTGTCTACCTTATAGAAACTATAGTCTCTAGACACTAAGAACTACCTAGAACCTAGGGGAAAGGTTGGATAAATGTCACCAACATCCAAAGTTTTTTCTTGCTCTTCCTGACATAGCAGCCTTGTATTTGCCTTCCCACGGTATTCCTCTGTACAGAAGCATCTACATACCAGTGTCTATTGATAGGATGTTATGAAAAATGAGACAGGGAGTTCAAAATAAGATTTGGTGCACACTTCCCATAACACCACCATATATATTCAAAACCTTCCACTCATTTTCCCCTATTTACTTGTTTTCTCATGTTGCCAGCCTATTTTTATTCCTCTCCCCCTGTACCCCCTAAGAGGAGTAGTAGGGAAGGAACACTGAACCAGAGTGGACACAGTGATGGGATGGTGGATCATGGGCACTTCAAGTGGTTATGGCCAGTATCAATAACAAAAACTTGAACATTATTGTAACCCTACCAGTTAAACTATAATAAAAATATATTGATAGTTTTTGTTAAATAAGATTTTCTCTTTACTACTGAAAGTCTCTTCTTGTGCTAGGAAGTTAATTTGTTTTCTCCTAGTGAGTAGTATGAAGATCAAATATAGGAAGATAAGTGTTTGATCTTTGAAAACTCTTAAATGCCATGCAAAAGTATCTCCAGTGTTTTTGCTTGGTTTTTTTTTTCACCCTCTTTATGGGGCAATAGCCTAAATTTCTGCTTTGCATGAATACAGTTTTACTTCAAATGTTTAAATGGCAAGAAGTAAAGCTGATAGTACAGAAAAGTCACATTGCTATTTTGTAGCACGGATTTGTCTCACTTATTTTAAAAGACAGTCTATTTAGTTTTTTGGTTTTTGTTTTTGTAACTTCCTTTTAATGACAATTTGGCCGGTTGTGGCTTGTTAGTTGGTTTCTACCAAAACCTAGACTCAAATGTGTTAAATTTTTAGTGTTAAACTTCTGGCTGCTTCAGTAATCTGGGAGGACACTCCGTCTAAGTGATGGTTCCTGACTATCATCTAACTCCTCTGAGCCCCATGTGGGCAGGCTCCTGGCTGGGGGCACAGAGGCCGGGAGAGGTGGGTGAGGTCCAGGCCAGACAGAGACAGGACTCAGGCACAGCTGGGTGGGGACAGGGGACAGCGCCCCTCCCCCGGCACATGCCCCTCTCTCCCACCCTTCTCTCGGACACCCAGAATGTGGTGGTAGAAAAGATCATGGCGGTGGGATGGGTGTTCAAATATTAAATGTAATCAAATATTGTGAACTTCTTTATAAAAACAAGATACATTAAAAAAAAAGAAGAAAAACTCAAAAAAAATTTTTTAGTGTTAGGGTCATGTCATCCAGAGATTGATGTTCAATTATATATCTTTATTTAAAAGGAATCATTTTTCTCTTCTGATAAGTTTTATATGTTAGTGTGTCTGGCATATCGAATACTCTCGGTAGCTTGCCGGGCTCTCCGAGAGGGGCGGAGGAATCGAACTTGGGTCGGCCATGTTGGCCGCGTGTAAGGCGAACGCCCTACCACTGAGCTATCACTTCATTTTTCAACATCAATGATAATGGCTACCATAAGGAGATTCAATTGTATGCTCTCATTTGTCTTAACACTCAATATAAGTTATATAATTAAATATTTTACAAATGCTCTAAGAAAAGGTATTTCTTAAATCAGCACTTTTTTTACAGATGAGAACATGGATGTTCTCAAGATAGTGTTAATTGATTAATTTATAAAAATGTTTTAAAGTGATACAAAAATTGAACATGTGTCTATCTTACCTCAGAGTCCATACTCCAATGTACTAACTTGTAGAATGAAAGTGGTATATAATGCATTGGGCTTTGAAATACATTATGATGTCTTATTTAATATAGTTTTTATGAGAGAACATGAGTGAATAATTATATGCTTGCATGGTAGCGAGATTCAATGAAATCAGGACAGGAATTAGAATACTTAAAAACTTGCAACTGCTGTTTATTAATTCTGTGGTGATGGCAAATCGGTTTATTCCCTCTCTTGAGTCTATTTTCCTTGATCAAAAGAGAAATTAATAAAGTTGCTCATCTCAGATGGCTATAGTAATGATCAAATGGATGTTTCTAAGTGCTTTGTAAAGGCTTAAAAAAGATTTAAAAATGAATTGATGAGTACATCCATCGTTTGCCATAGCCTGTTTAAAGGTAGAAAATGTTTTGAGTGCTCTTCATAAAAAATAATTTGATTTCAGGAAACTCAGTGAGTTTATAGAATAGCTCTATTGAGCATGATCTAGCATACAGGTATTACCTAGTTGACTTGATGAGATGCATCATTTTTTGAGAACAGGCATTTTTCAATGCCTTGTAAAGGACTTCTTGATGCATATTTGTGTGACCCAGAGAGTGGGAAGACCCAGAAACCCAAATGGGTCTGTACTGCTTGTTTGTTTCAACATTTCTGACACAACTGTCACACCATAACTACCTTGCCAGTACAATTTCAGGTTCTGTATTTTCCAAGTTCATTTCTGTCCCACCTTGAAAATCAGTGGAAGCCTCTTCCTTGAGGGCATACTCAGTGGTCTATACAAAATGGCTTCATTGGCAATCAGAGGTATAATCACTTGCAAGTCCAGATCTGGAGTTCTGGGGTGATCCCCAGCTCAGAACTAAAGTGCAGATGATGGACGGTGGGAAGATTGTGTCCTGCATTCAGGATAGAGTTCGCCATTCCTTTCATTCCAATATTGTTTGTTTTCTTTGTGGGTTTAGGAATGTTGCAACTTAAGCCATCTATTCTCAGGTTTGCTTGGGTTTCAGGGTGAAATAGCAACACATCTGGTGACAAGGTTTCTGTGATGGTGGCATCAAAGAAGCAGTTCTGAATTTGAAGGAGGATGTGGAAATGATTTTATTCTATCTGTTCAGTGCAGTGTAGATAACCAGATAACCAGTGGGGATTATCCATTTTATTTCCTAGTCCCTTTTAGGTGACCCCTGCCTCCTCACCCGCTACACACACACACACACACACACACACACACACACACACACACACACGGTTCTTTCACCCACAGACTTTCATTCAGGAGCTTGGATTACCAGTTTCAGTGATTGCCTGGCTCAAATAAAAAAAGCTAACTGTTCATGTTTTGTTTTGCAAACTGAATTTACACACATCAGCTCTCAGTGTGGCCTTCCTTAGGTGGAGATCCACCTCGAGGGAAGCCAGCACTCCCTTCGTCCCCTTGGGAAGTTTATGGGGTGTGCACACAAAGCCAGAGTCCTAACTGTCATCAGAGCGATCAGATTGAGAATAAAGTGCCCAAGTAGTTTGGGCACTGTGACACCAGCGAAATTGCAGATTAACTGAGGCCATGGCTTGTGGGGTTGCAGAATGGAAAAAGAAAGGGAGAGTGAGCAGTGAGCACAGCGCGGGAGAAGTTTATTTATGGAATGTCAGGGACCCATTGGGGCTCAGAACTGCCCTCGGGGGCCCATTCTCCCCTTCTGACCTTGGATGAACTAGAGAGCAGTATATTATGCCCGGTGATTGTGCTGGTTTGTCATGGTTAGCATTCTGGACTGTCACTGGAATGTAGGAAACGGATGAATTTGAATTGAACCATGAGGTGGTCTGCGGGGCCCTCTCCTTGTCTCAAGGAAACCTGTCGCTGTTTGTCTGGGCCTGGTCTAATGAAAGCAATGGAGGGAAAGAGAGGTGGGCCTTTGATCTCTTTGTTGCAGCTGCTCCCTGGGAACTGCTGAAATCAATGCCCTGTTTTCCTGAAGGAATGAATGGCCCTGCCTAACTAGCTTTGTGAGGCTGTGGGGGAATTCACTGCCTCTGTTTATTGACAGCTGAAAAGGAGCACATGGGCTGGACTGGACCTTCTTGTGAAAACCAGGCACAGGGAAAATTAGACCTCAATTTAACACAGAGGAATTTCGAAATTCACCCCAAAGGAGTCGGGATTTCTCATGCTTACATTAGAATTACCCTAGTCAGGGGGACTGGTGTGCAATGAACAATGGCGGCTCTGTCATAACTATGTAATAAGTAGGAATATGGTATGCATAATAAATGGCATTACGTAGAAATTGATTCAACATCCCTTTTTTTAAAAACACAAAAGTCAAGGCAAAAATGAAGCATAATATAATCAGGTGATCGTTTTATCTTTAAGATGAAAAAATTTTGAAACTGACAGCATGATTGTATTACTGAGTTTCAAGAATGTGTTTTTCACCCATGTTTCAAAAAAAAAAATCTTTGAACTTTGTGTATAAACTTCACTTGGACTAGTTATTCCTGTGTGTGTGTGTGTGTGTGTGTGTGTGTGTGTGTGTGTGTGTGTGTTGCATGGGAATTTTAGGATAACACATTTATTTTTTAAAACATATTTGTAGAATCCGTACCTGGAGGTGTATCAAACAGAAATGAAGCTGGCTAATAGGCCAACAGATCCTTTGCAATCAAAGTGACTCATAAATCCTGAAATTGCCACTAATTTTCTTTTAGGGCACAGTAAGGAAAAAGTCTTGAATTTATCCCAAGAAACATCTCCATACCTTCTTTCACAGCTCCATTCCCTTGCTTCATTTCCCAGGAAGAATTTATGGCCTCTTCCTTGGCCTCCAGCTCTTTGTGCACACCTCTATTATAGCACTTTACACATTGCCCGTAGCTCTTTGTTTCCGAGTATTCTCTTAGTTGGAAGTAAAGCAGCTGTGTCTTATTCATTTTTATATCTCCAAACCTAGCAAAGCCCTTGGCTCAGTGAATGCTTGCTAAATGAATGGGTATTGATAGCTCCCCAAACGTTACTTTGAATGTAATTACTTATCCAGGCTCCAACTGCAAATACTACATTTTAGGGAAACCTCACTGGTCTATTGTCACCTGATTGGCTCTTCTGCTTTTTAAAACCTTTCCTTTATGGAGAATTATAAAACTTTTTTTTTTTGTCAATTTGACAAGTTTGTTGTGCAGTCCATCAGCCTCAAAACTGGAGATATTTAAAAAAAAAAAGTGTGGCATTGCCTTTCACAAATCCAAACGCTCTTCTCTAATAAAAGTTCCTACATTGTAAGTTTCAACAACGTTTTTGTTTGGAATTGTATGGGCTTCTCCTACTCCAGGTGTAAAGATTGAGATGGAGAATGTCTCCATTTCACATGGCTGAATTCTATGGAGTCATGTTAAATAATAAAAAAACAAAATAATCTCTTGACAATTTCTCTAACCAAACCCTTCACCATGTCCTATTATGAGTCTATTCTCCAAGGAAGATGAGGAGTAAAGAGAAAGAGTAGCGTAAAAGGGAAAATGTTGTGTCTAAAATCTTCACCAAGATTATTGTTCAAGAACTCTATTGGGACTTCTGTCTTGAACGGTATGAGTGAAGTTTCAAATATAGGTTTGCACCTTGATGAGCTGAGGTAGAAAATTATGTAGGGTGTTTGCAAGGGTCATACAGAGACAGTGGATTCAACAGGTTGTGCTTCTGTTAAGATTTTTAGATTGCTTGCCAAACAGGAAAAGTACCAGGGCCTTGATTCTTGATGGACTCTCTCTGCTAATCCCCTCACCCCCCATTATCCTGCAGTAGTAAACTAGAGATAAGAAAGAGGTCAACACAGCATTTAGTTTTATAACTTGGGTTGCTAATTCCCTCCGTTTCTGTAAGTAATTTTGTGTAACATCATTGAAAGTAGGGAGGAATAGAGGCTAAGAGGAAGAGTAGGAACTTAAGCCATGCTTTTTTCCATGGGATGTCTCAGCTTTTCACACTGAGGCATATCTTGTGATAGAACAGCTTTCAAAGAAGGGACTGACGTTCAAAACTGTGCTGGTTGTGTTCTTAGAATCAGATAATGCTCCTTCATGATCCTTTACTTGAAGAGTCATTTCTGCTGGATTGGAGACAGCTGTAAAATCCAAGCAAAATCGCAAGATTGTCTCTAATAATTTAAGAGTCAAACCCTCAAAGTAGGTTTGGTGATTGACATAAATTAGGTCTGTGGGTGTTGTTTATCTACATAAGCAAATTTCCTAGTAGAAAGATACCAGATACTTCCTTCTTAGATGGCTTCCCAGTCATCAGACTGACCAGATAAAACAACCCTTAAAGAAACTTGCTTATCTAGGCATTGAGCTAGACACATCCTCCTTGACCATTTGATGAGCTACAGGAAAGACAATTCTGAAATACAGAATGATTTTAAATGACAGTTGGAGAACTTGCCCTCCAAGTGTGTAACGTTTTCTGTCTGGAATTTTTTGGGGGGTGGTGGGTGAGGTGAAGGGGTGTTCAGGTCCTTTCTCTGCTAGTGGCTGTCTTTGTTCTTTAGAATCCCACCACCCTCCACTTCACTCATTCTTGCTCAAGTATATATTTCCTTTTCCCTAAGGATAGAGTTTTGGGTTGATGCTATCAAGATATCCTGGTCGTCACCTTTTTGTTGTTTTACAGGCTTACAGGTTATTTTACTTGAATTAGCATCTCTGGAAAGTAATTTTAAATACACAAATGCTCCTTGCTTCCTGAGCACAGCCTTAAGCACAGAATTAATACAATGTTTAATGTAACTGAACCTACTGTTGTAGGTATGTCTGCTTAACAGGGAAAGGAAGAGGAGAGAGATTCAAATGTATGAGTTTCCACATGGCTCATGGAGGGACCTGGAGGCCTATCTTGGTATTTCTACATGGCAGCCCACACCTTGCTCGTACCATCATATTGTGCCTTTAAAATGAAAAATCCTTTTAAGATCTTCAAAGTGACGTGGAAATGTCAGACTATGGAGCTCTGGCATGTCGATGGAGAGGAAGTTTCGATCCCAGCATTCCTGAACGTGTGTTCTGTCTATAAATGTCCATTTACACAGTTCCACTGTGCTTTCTCTCCATGCCTTTTTTTTTTTCTTTAAACGTTTGCTTGTTTCCCCTTCTTTCTAGGATTGCTTACACCTCTGATGGTGACCCCTGTTTCTGGTCACATCTAAAATTCCTCTGTCTTGCAGACTAAGGTAAGTCAGTCCCTGTTCCAACTGCCTTTGGAGCCGCTGCTTGGGCAGTGATGCATGTCCTGACGTCTCTGTTAGAGCGCCCCCTGCTGCCTGCAGCCCTCCTCCCCCAGACCTTCAGAGATGATGCCTGTTGACCACCTTCTCCACGCCTCTCAAACGGGCATTCCGCATCCCACAGTTTGTTTCCCATGCAGCATGTCCTGGTTCTCTGCTGAAATCTGTCACCGCCAGTACCTGAGATACCCCTTCCCCTGTTACTGTGTCATGCTAGCAGTGCTATTTCTCCACAATTCCGCACTGTACTCTGCATTTTTTTTCTGCAAAATGACCTTTAGTAAAATGTGCCATCATTTTCTTTATTCCAGATTGTAAAAATTGCTGTATAATTTGTCTCACACTTGATTCCTCCTTAGGAGATCCCATGCCTTAGAGCTGGCAGCTCTGCCCTCTCTCACACTCTCCTCTACCTGAGGGATCTCCATTTTCTCCACTGTTTTTTAAGCAATTCAGGACTTGGATAAAAGCCATAAGATAACTTTCCCTCTCTCTTTCTAGGCATTTGCATAGGAATCAGAGGAGCTAATCTTGTGAGTAAACACTTAGTCTCTGCCCTCCCTCCCTCCCTCCCTCCCTCCCTCCCTCCTTCCTCCCTTTCTTCCTTCCTTCCTCTCTTCCCTCCCTGCCCCTGGAGTTCTTTATTCCCTGTCATGATCTTAATTGAAACGCAGCTCCTGTCCCTTCAGTCTAGAAGGAACTCCCATTATAGTCATCTTAGGTATTCCCAGCACCATTGCTGCCAGACACATCCTAGAACCTAGAGATTTCCCTGGTCCCTGCACCGGGCTTAGCTCGAAGCAGAGAATGGCTGATCTTGGCAGTCTTCTGGGATACAAAGAATCACAAAGTCTGACACAGCTTTTGAATGAGCTAGAAAGGAAAGGGGGGACAAGAGTGGAATTCCAGAGTCCTCTGTCCCTGCCATGCTGATCTGGAGGCAAAACAGCACCCAAACAGTGGTAGCTATGGAAACCAAGCTGAACCGAGGGAACCGTGAGAGACAGTGAGCCTGGGCTCTTTGGGGCCCAGTCCGTGGGAAGTATCTAGTAGGACTCTGATTTCTGACTTTGGAGAGGCTGGAAATGAGGCAGTGAAGAGCCCACTCTCTTGGTAATGTGGAGTTTCAGATCGCTTTCAGATAGACTCTGGATGCAAATCCTAGCTCAGCTGCTAGTTAAGTATCTGACCGTGGCCCAATCAGCATAACTTCCAAGCTAATAGCATAATACCCCTAAGTAAAACAGGGTTAGTACTACTCATCTGATTATTTGGAAGCTTTAAGTGAAGTGATTAACACATCCTTCACCTGCTACATGCCATGGGACTCTTCCTGAAGAGTACAGGAGGTATTCAGTAAATACTGTTGCTGTTATATGGTGATCCCAAAAGCTCAAAAATAATCACCACAGAGGTAGAGAAAGAGCATGTGTGAAAGGTCAGCTTCATGAACCTCGACTTTTAACTGGTGACCATTGGGGACACCTACAGATGTCCTTACTGAGAGGGGCAGGAATTCATCTGGAATTTGAAAGGGCATGGTTGGAGATTGTCTAACCTCAACTGGTTGAAACCTGAGTTCCTCCAGAGATCATTCCAGAAGTTGCCAACCCCCTCTCTTTCTCCTAACCCCCCATCTAGTCAAATGTCAGTCAACTCCTAGCAACATGCCCACTGTGCCTTTTTTTGTTTTCTTGTTTGGGGGCAACACCTGGTGGTGATGCTCAGGGCTTACTCCAGGATCTGCACTCAGGAATTATAGGAATTACTCCTGGCAGTGCGCAGGGGGGCTGGGGATCGAACTAGGGTCGGCCGTGTGCAAGACAAGCACCCTACCAGCTGTACTATTTCTCTGCCCTCCCCACCACCACTGTGCCATTTTTAAAGCCACTTCATTGTTGGAGATGAATATGACTACCCTATTTAGAGTGTCCACTTTCAGACGTATAATCTCAGTGTGGACTGTGATCACTGAAATGAGATTAGTGGTCTGTAATCTGTCAGATTAGGCGGACTCCTTGCTGTACAGAATTCCAGGCTTTAGAAAAGAAAACTTAAAAACACTGACTTGAGAGGCTTTTTCAGAAAACCAATTTCCCGTCATCTCCTATCTAGAAGAGTCCTTCGCAGAAAACCAAGGCAGACGTGCAGGGGTTGGGAGCTTGCCCACTTCTTTCCCACTCAAAGCATTTGAAAAGTCAGTCTGCAGAATTTACTTAAGCAAAAATCAGGAGGAGCTCCAAATGAATGAACTGAAACTGGAAGGAAATCCCTTTGTTCCACGGGGTCTCTGAATGCTCAGCAGGCAGCTAACCCTGTTCATTAATGGAGAAAAAGACGTGTGTTCCGAAACTCTCCTCTCAGAAGCAAGTGCCCAGAAAACAGATTGTGACAGCAAAGTTACAGCAAAGAAGCCATACGCTGTAGATGCATCAAACTTTTGGTTTTGTCCTCAGTGAAAATTTCCCATTTATTAAAACCTTCCCATTTACTGAACAGAAGCTGGAGATATAGTGCAGTGGGTAGGGCATTTGCCTTGCGTGCGACTGACCAGGGTTCAGTCCCCAGCATCCCATATGATTCCTGAGTGCAGAGCCAGGAGTAAATCCTGAGCATTGCCAAGTGTGGCCCAAAACCAAACATAAAAAGTTAATAAAATTCGTTACGGTAAATTCTTTACCAGGGGCCAATCTCTGTTCCTAGAAAAATGTGATTTTTTTTTTTTTTTGCTACTCTGGTGCTCTGATATCTCTCTGTTTTGGAATGTTTAACAGGACTCTCTCTCTCTCTCTCTCTCTCTCTCTCTCTCTCCCCCCCCCTTCCCCCTCCCCCCATCCCCCCATCCTTCATATATTTTGCCCCTGGTAATTGACATATTCAAACCCTTCTCTCTGATTTTGAAAGTGAAATTCTGAATAGCGCCTGCAAGGAGCATCCTGTCAAAGTTAGATGAGTTCTTTTTCTAATTGCCTCTTCTCTGCTTTATTAAATTGTCCTGTGCTGCACTGGGTTCCCTCACCGCCACCACCACCACCACCACCACCACCCCACCAGGGGCGGGGGTGGGGGGGGGGATGCATGCTTTCAGGTTCCCAAGCATTGTTCGCTATTTAAGAATGAGGCTGGAGCTGGGATGGCAGGTGGGGAAGGGCGGGACTTGCTCCCCTCTTTCAACCAGCCCTGCTTACATTGAACAGCTTAAGAATAAGCGCCTGTGTGAGCCCTCGGAGGCCCAGAAGGATTGTGGAATTCAGAAAGGAATCGCTTTCTTTTAGTGATGATTTGAATATTGTGACAATGAAGCTAAGCTACTCCACAGCTGGGTTTGCGTACTTCATGTCAGGCGCCCCCTTTCTCGGGAAGCTGAAGGGAGCCCCCCCAGCCCCCACCCCCTCCTCCTCCTCCGCTCTCTGAATTCATACATTGGTTTTGTTCTCCAGCGAGATGGGTAGGAGCAAAACAGAAAAAGAATCATCCAGAAGAATTTTACATTCTTGCTTTAGTGTTTCTTTGAAAGCTGTTTTCAGAAATGAACGCGGGCCTTTGGAGGTGGCCCTTTTTAACCACCTAGATAGAGTACTTTGTTTGAGACGAGAGATGGACCGTGAAGATGGTTTGTAAAGGGTTGATACGTGCAAAGTGTGGGATACCTTTAAAACCAATTCTCTGAATGATTAAAAAAAAAACAACCCTATTGTGTGTGTGGGGGGATTCCCCCCTGAAGTATGATTGCTGCTTTCCCTCTTAAACTTTATCTAAAAATGGCCTTACTCTTTTCCATTTTTTTTAACTTAAAAGGATCTTCTTATACACAATAAATTGCTATAGCCCCTTTTGTGGGGACGGAGAAGGGAGCAAATTTAAAAAGAAAGTAGGCAGCAGAATGATTGCATGGATTAGGTGAGGCGTAATTGGCTTTGTTTCATAATAGATTTACCTCTGTACTGGTTAAGAAAGTCCTCAAAAATCCCCTCCCCTGCCCCTGTTAGAGGACTAGCCATCCAAATAGTCTTAGGAGGAAGAAGCCAAGTTTTAGAACTGATTGGCGAACTGAGATACAGGTCGCCAGGTGCTAACTAGGGATCAGTGGTGTAAATCTGGGAGCAGGTGGTGAAAATCAAAAGACTCTGGGTGGCTTTTAAATGGGGGGGAGGCAGTGATGTTGCCCAGTTGTCTCAGTGCTGTGGTCTAGGAACTCTCCTGCGGGAAGATGTCCCTGGTCATTCTAAAGCATATACAGATTTGGTGGCCATCAAATTGTGTCTTCAAATGGAAGATCTCAACTCTTTCTCATTCTGCAACTTTGATTTAAAAAAAAAACACCTGTATGTTTCTATAGTGCTTTTGTTAGAGACAGATGTCCCTAGTGATTGCTGACTTGTTTCCATTCGTACTTTGCTTCAGGTCTATTACCTTATAGCTGTGCATATCTGTTTTTTTTTTTAAATAGTACTCTAACACTGTGTAAAAAGATATTTCCTCTACAGGCTATTTTGAATATTTCATATAAGCAATTTCACATGTGTTTTTTGTTTTTCTACTTGCAGAAACAGGGGAAAACTTCAGGTTTATTTTTTTCTAACCCACTTGCAAGTAGGACAAAAGGATACGTTATATTTAAAGATATTCTTGAGCAACATTGTCTGAGAGTTGGAAAATCTTTTCAATTACAACCTCTTGACCTATGTCACACCCTTAAAATATACCAGATGTTATAAATGCTTAATACTTTGGTATCATACACTTGGTATATCTAAGGCATTTTAAAATCTAGGTAGTGGGTCTACTGAGGTCACAGACTAAGGATTTAAAATCTAAAACAGATTTATTATGGTGCATGAAAAAGTGGTAGGAACATTCAACACATTAGTTGTATGTGTGTGCATGAGTATGTGTGCCCTTGACACAGACACACAAAATTCAAATTGTAATACAGTGGTGGTGGTGTTGATTGGGGGGCAAGGTTGGGGGGTAACATTTTCTATCTTCTTTCACTGAAGATATGCAAGTTCTTTTCTTGCAGGCTGTGGTCCTTCAGATCCAGAAAGACCCCTTGTCCATCTTGCTACCGCTCTCTCCTGAGCAGGTAAGTGACATAACTTCTACAATTTATTTCTGTCATGTTTATTAATAATTGCAGCTTGTGCAGGAAAAAAAAACATGTAAAAGCAGTCAAAGATGTCTGGGGAATTACTCAAACATATATGGAAAATTCTAGAATCTTTGAAAGGGTTCTAGTAGAAGATAGACACACTTCCTTTTCAACACTGCCCAATACCTTAGAAGGGAGCCATCTCTGAGTATTGGCTGGTTGACAGGCATATTCTGCACCTCAGAGAATCCCAGGGTGCTGCCAGTGACCCACCCCACCTATGCTTAGCCCCACCTATGCGTTGAATTTGCTGCTGAGTTCCCCTTTTTGGGAGATATTAAGACGGGGCACTGGGGTGCCCGGCTGCAGGGTCAGAGCTATTCTTTGCGAAGGCTTAGAGACATAGCCATTGCCAATGCCCACAACCTGTGCAGATGGCTGGGCTAGGTGGACCGATGGCCTTGGTATTCGTGAACACAGCACTCACCTTCACTCAGAAGAAGACCTGTGTCTGACTTGTGTTCACCCCTCCTGTTATCAGTAATTTAGACTCATGGGAGCAATCGCTTTGGAGGCCCTCACTGGGTGTGCGGGATTTGGCTTCACACTGCACTGGGGCCTGTGGTATTCCATTACTGGACCCTGGGCAGAGCCCTCGGTTCCATGGGCTTGTCAGTGCTTTGGGGCTTCTTCCCAGACTGTGAAGAATTGAGCTGATATATTCTCTGACTTTGGTCCCCTTCGAACTCCAACACTCATGCTCCATCTTTTGGCCAAAATAAAAAATTCACACAAACCCTGGAAGTCGGGTGGGGAGGGGGATGATAGAATCTAGCAAGGATGTGACAGCGTTGGATGGGGGGTGGGAGGGGTGGTGAGGAGCTTGCTCTTAATATCTGCACTTTAGGGTGCGCTGGGATCCCAAGCAAGGTCCTGGAATGCTGTGCCCAGGATGCAGTGGGTGAGGGTGGAGAGCCACACCGGACAAGTCCGTGCAGAGGGGACAGCTCGGTCACCGGGCAAGTGGGAAAGGATGGAGCCATCGCTCTAGGCTACTGGGAAGGGGCAGCAGGCATGCGGCTGTGGGAAACGGGCTCTTTGTGAGCGACGTGCTGGCCTCCCGGGCAGACCACACATGAGGATTGCAGGGCCCCGCTCCTTAGAGAGTTCACATTCCTCCCATTGAAGGGGGCGAGATTGTAATGGTTTGTTAAACAAACAAAGGGGCCGAGGCTGTGAATGGGGAAGAGAAAAGACGGGAGGTGAAAAGGAGAAGAGGCCGACCACTAGTGCCCCCCGAATCTTTTTTTATAAAGCTTTCTCCGCATTCCCTGACATTCCTTTCTCCATTCAGAGGGGCCAGGGCAGTAACTAGGAGAAGTGGTCTGGTCTCTCTGGGGCCATTTCCTTTCAAAATGGAAAGCCGATAAAAAAAAGGGGGGGGGGGTTATCAGTTTAAAGAAGACAAAACCCAGGGTCCTTTGACAGCCCTAGTGACACACATTTTTTTTTTTTCATTTCAATCTCAGGATTTGTGGTGAACCACTGACTTCGGTCTTCTGAATTTGTTGACAGTAACAAAGAAAGGTAAAGAGTGCCTTTTTTTTTTTTTCTCAAGTCTCATACAAGTGGTTTTGTCTAATAAATTACAGCCTGCGGCCTGGGCAGATGCGCTTCTGCAAAGTTCGGGGAGGGCTAAGATTTTACTTTCCGCTCGGAATTGCACATACCATTTGCTCAAATTCTGAATTCTCTTCCCTGGGGGCCCAAGGAGCAAGGAGTGGGGGGGAGGGATGAGTAGTATGTGTTTTCACTTAAAACCGCTGTCACTTTTGTGATCCATTTGGGTGGTCAACAGATTGGGTCTCGGACACAGCTATGGGATCAGAACCATTTTGAGTTTCAGCAACACTTGCAAACCTGTCGCTCCCCCAGGGCAAGGAAATATATTCCTGGGCAAGAAGGAACTGCAATTACTTGTCGCTTTTGGCCTCGATGAATTCAATGTTCATAAAAAAGAACTCACTTTCTCTGGCTTCTAGTTTTCTCTAGAATAACCCCCCCCAAAACACACACACACATACACATTTTGTCTCCAGATCTTTCTGGTGCCTTGGGGTTTGTGTCTCCAGGCTTCCAGGTCATCCGGCTACTTAGCATCCCCTGAGTTTCTATTTGTCCATCTACTTGAGCCCAAGCTCCCAGTCTGCCCCCGGGGCTCTGGCAGGCCTCTGTGTTTGGATGGATTCTCACCTGCCTCTCCCCCTGCCCCCCCCCCCCCCGCCCCAATAACGTCTCCCTCCTTTTTGCTTGCCTGCTACACACCTAGATTCCATCTCAGGCGTTGTCACTGAAATGTGTATTTCACGATCCAGACAGGGAGAACAAAGAAAAGGCATCTCTCCAGCCACCCCCCCAGAGCCTTAAGCAGACTACAGCGCCGAGTGGGGGCAGCTTGTGGCCTTCCCAGAGTCTTGGGCGCGTCTAGCCCACCCGAGTCTTGGGGGCAGTAGTTGGGGTCCCTTCGAGAGACTTCCACTTACAAACCTGCCACTGGGGCCCTGATTTGCTGCTTTCTTTTCTCACTTGCAGCCTTTAGCCTCACAGACTTCCAGGGAAAAGACCTGCTTTTCTTCTCCCTCCAATCGTATCTGTGTGGGGACAATGGGCCCCGCTGCTAATTAGCTAAGTTTTGCTCCCTCTGTGCCTGGACTCTTTGCATCCCAGGAAAAGCCATCAGGCTGACAGCTATAGACACAGCCCCTAAAAAATAAGACTAAAGGCGAGTTGTGGCGGATCTGGGGGGAGGGGGGGAGAGATATTTTCAGCTGTCACAAAGGAATCATCCCAGCACGGACTCTAATGACTAGCAAATCTTCTCCTAATACCCAAAGGCTCTTGTTTGGATCTCAGGGCCTCTCTTCCCACCCCCCTCCCCCCAGCACCTCCCTCCCCAGAGCCCCCTCAGCCCCTCGGCCCTGCTTGATACCCAGAGTTCATTAATTGTCTTTAAAAAAAAAAAACCAACCCCATCCCACCCACCCCCAACTTTCTGCAGGAGAAACAACAGCCCTGGGCTCTGTGCTTGCTTTGTGGAAATAAGACACGGGCCTTTGCTTTTTCTAAATGTTTATATTTTAAAATGCAGGTTAGGGGTGGGATGGGGGAGCTGGTAGAAAGGTCAGTGTTTGTGAGCTGTTGCTGCCTGGGGGGGGCTAGCGCGAAGGCCAGGGGTCCCGCTTGGGGGGCGCCCACCCAGCGCTACACAGCCCCGCTTCCGCTCTATTTGTTGAGCTCCTGGGCCGGGGTCAGCCTTTCCTGCCGGGTGGGGGTCCTCCATCTATTGGAGGCTCATTTTCCTGGATTTCTTTCTCCCTCTTCCTGGTTCCCCAAGGCTCCCTCTCCTGCCAGCAGAGATGCCAGTTTTGTTGGGGTTTCCTGCCTGCCTGTCTCTTCTCTTCTCTTCCCCCTGCCCTCCCTTGGCCTCGGTGGAGAGCCAGGGTAGCTGGCCTTGACCTCGGCGTGTTCTCTTCCACGCACCGAGTGGCCGAGAGCAGAGAGAGGCTCTCGGCTAGCAAAGAAGGGGCTTTTCTTTGCACTGTCACCATTTAATTGGGGTGGGGGCACATACCCAGTTGTGCTTGGGGCTTGCTCCTGGCTCTGTGCATGGGGATCGCACCAGGTAAGGCTCAGAGGACCCTATGCGGTGCCAGGGATCGAACCTGTGTTAGCCATATTAAGATAAAGTGCCCCTCTTCACTGTTTTCTCTCTCTCTCTCTCTCTCTCTCTCTCTCTCTCTCTCTCTCTCTCTCCTGTCCCCCACCCCCCTCTTTTGGAACTCCTTAGCAAAATGTTAGACTTCTTTGGGGGCCACACCCAGCAATGTTCCGGCCATGGCCCCAGCTCCAGTGCTCGGGATTCATTCCAGGTGATGCCAGAGATCAAGCCCAGGCTTTCTGCGCATCAAACCATTCCCCCCAGTCCATCATTTTGCTCAGTTTTGTCCCCCTAAACTTGCGACTCCACCAGGTCACAGGGGAGGGGGGAGGGAAGCAGGGGACCCAAGAGGCAGGTCTGTCCTTGAGGCATCGGAGAATGGCAGGTCCCCACACGCCAACTCCCATCCTGTTCCACGGGGGCCATGCACATATCCTCAGGGAAGATCAGTCTAGAAGCAGCCTGCCATGAAGAAAACAAATTCCTCCTCAGCCCCCTGGCCAGCCGGCTGCACCAGGCCTCCTCAGGGGGGCAAGGGGTGTCAGGCTTGCTGACTGACGGGGGCCCAGGGCTGCCCCTGTGGAAAGCGAGGAGTGATTTATCTCATCCCTTGCAGAAGCTGACTTCAGAGTGCATCTGCTGCCCCAAGCCCAGGGTCTTGTTGGCTCAGGTTTCAGTGGCTGGCTTGCCTCTGCTGCTGTACCCCCCCCCCCCCCCCCGACTTCCCTCCACCCCCCAGTCCACAGACTGAACACTGAAACTCAACTCCCAGCTCCTGTTTTCCTCTGGGTTTTCCTTCTGGGACTCATTCTTCCTTTTTCCTCGGCCATCATCATCCCTTCTTTGCTCTACTCTTCCTTTTCGCCATTATCCTTTTTCCTCCATCGTATCCTGCTTTTAGGATGTCACTCTTACCTTCTTCTCTTCTCCTCTGGGCCACCATGATCTCTTAAGAGATATGGCAGAAACTGAGTGGGGGAAAGGGGCTCTTTACCCTGTGCCCACCCTTCATCCATGTCTCTGACATACATGTGCTTGATTATTATCAGAGGTGTGACCTGATAAGTGGCATGGCTTCTACTCAGTTCCTAGTGCCCCATCCTGGTGGCCTTGCCCCTGAAGTCTGACTTCTGTGCCTCCTTGAGGCACAGATGCTTGTGCTTATTTTTTAAATGATAGAGCAGGAAATCTAACCTGACTAAAACTGTACATGTTTTCATCCCCCCCCCCCCCACACACACACACACACTGG